CACACACACACACACACACACACACACACACACACATACATGCATACATACACATTTTAATGAATGAATTTTTTTTTTAAGTGTTTTAAACACACAGAAAACTTCTGGCCACTTTTATTTACTATCTAGTAACTCTAGTAAAAGGCTGTGTTGGTCATTTTTAGTCACTATACAATTAACCACTATGCAATAAAATTTGTAATGCATTTCACAAAGATGATACTGTAAATATAACATTTTCAGCCTAATTCAAATAAAACTTACTTGGTTGCATTCTATCTTGACTAAAGTACTTGCTTTTCTAGACTGATGATGGAGAAGATGACCTGAAAAAAGGTACCCAGTTATTAGAAATATATGCTTTGGAAATTCAAATGTACACGGCACAGAAAAATAACAAAAAACTTAAAGCACTCTATGAACAGTCACTTCACATCAAATCTGCCATCCCTCATCCACTGATCATGGGAGTCATCAGAGGCAAGTGTACCTTGGAAAGAGAGGGTGGTGATGTGGGGGACCAGGTGGCAGTGACCCTTAAGGTTGTTCGTGTTTTACTGAAAATAAATGTTAAAGTATTAAAGTCCATAAAATGGTCTATTCTGAGAAAGTAGGGTGGATTCTTATCTTCTGAAAGTTATAAAAGTAAAGATACTATTTAGAAAGTTTATCAGTAGTACTATTCCTAGGTTTTCCTGATGTATATAAAATTACTTTCTGTTTCAATAGAAATTGAATAAAGACTGCAAATGATTGGCTGATATTTAATGAACTTGCTTTGAAGTATTTAAGTGTATACCCTGGACTATTGCTATTCAGGTTATAGAAGAAAAAATCAGTGAGATAGTATCATTTGATCTTCATAAATTAATCTTGTTATTACAGAATGAAAATGGTCTTTCTCCTGTTTTATTCTTTACAGAATGTGGTGGTAAAATGCACTTGAGAGAAGGTGAATTTGAAAAGGCTCACACTGATTTTTTTGAAGCTTTCAAGAATTATGATGAATCAGGAAGTCCAAGACGAACCACTTGTTTAAAATATTTGGTCTTAGCAAATATGCTAATGAAATCAGGAATAAATCCATTTGACTCACAGGAGGTGTGTGTGCTTTATTAATTTCTTTTATTAGTTACCTTTTATAGGAATAAATAGTACTTTTGTACACATACATAATTGTTTTGTTTTGTTTTCCTGTTGGTTTTAGGCCAAGCCGTATAAAAATGACCCAGAAATTCTAGCAATGACGAATTTAGTAAGGTAAGATTTTATATTTCAGCTAAGGCAAATTTCTTTAAGGCAGTTCATAACGCAGAGGAAATGAAAACTTACAGAACACAGTTACTGTTCAACATTTGCTCTTCTGTATGTTGTGCAGAATGCACAAAAGTTTGTGTTCTTTTTGTCTTTTGAAGCTGTTACGATTTTTCTGTTAGTTGCAAAATTTGTAAATGTCTCATTTGATTTGTTTGGTGAATTTGGGTTTTTGTTTGTTTGTTTTATTTCTTTCTTTCCTTTTTTCCAGTATAGGGGTTTAAACCTAGAGCCTTTTGCACATACGGCAAGCACCCTAACACTGAACCATATCCCCAGCCCTCGTTTTATTTTGAATCAGAGTCTTAATAAGTTGGCAAGGCTAACTTGAACTTGAAATCCTACTCCCTCAGCCTTGTGAATAGCTGAGAGTACAGGCCTGTACCACCAGGCCAGCTTGGCTTTCTTTTTAAGTTACTTATTTTTTAGTAACCATGTGTTTGTATACTTATATGCATACTTGATGTTTTCCATTGGAAAACTAATTTTGAATGTTTCAAAACATTGTTTCTCAGTGTTACTCTATCCTAAATCAAAATATTGTGAATTGCTCCAAGATAAGTATTTTCAGTAAGAAGAAACGTGGTAACCAGACTTTCCCAGCTAAGATAAAAATATCATTAAAAATTTTTAGGTAGTTTTCTGAGGTAGAGGGGATCGTAGGTTGAAGGTAATAGTGATAAGAAACCCAAGGATTTATTGAATAATTCTGTGGAGAAAGATGTGGATAATGTTGAACCACAGAACCTGCCATAGTCAATGTTAAGTAAAATTAGAGAAGATTAGACCAAATAGAAGCCTGGAAGATCATGTCTATTGTTTTCAACAGAAGTCAGTGAACAAGAGAAACTTTCCTCTAGGCTCAAAGTAAATGGTGCTCGAGGTTTCTGTGGACTTTAGAAAAGTACAAAAACCTAAGTTTTTGAAGTACTTTGTTTCAGGTTGTATAGCTGAGTTTACCAAGGCTCAAAAAAATATAGTTAGGGAGAAAATGCAATGGTTTTTGCAGATTATACGTGAATATTAGTCACCATTTTTCATTAATAAATACTATTAGACTGTGAATTATAGATGAGTTACCTCCATGTATATTTTAAATAGTTGAAGAAAATAATTTGTTTTATGATACTGATTTCCTTATAAAAAATATATATTTTTTAATTTGGCTATTGACTTGCATGTTATTACTATTTTTTTTTAAGAAACTTTAATTTTAAAAGCCTACTGTGGAGTAGACCTTTTCCCAGTACGCGGGAGGCAAAGACATGTAGATTTCTCTGAGTCTGAGGCCAGCCTGGTCTACATAGTGAGTTCCAAACCAGCCAGAGCTCCATAGTGAGACCCTGTCTCAAAAACCAAAGAAGCCTTAATTTTTGCCATAAGTGAAAAATAAGTTTTTTAGGAAGACTGTGGGTTTTGGGAGTATAAGCATCTTAAATTGCCACATTAATCAGGTTGATTATCCAATCTTTATTTCAAACAGTTTAATTTATCTATATTTGGCCACATTAACTGTGAACTGATTTGGCTAGTAATTAACTTTAAAAATACTCTAAAAATATGTTTAACTTCAAAATACTTTTTAAATGATTTATCATATTAGCTTGCCAAGCATCAGTTCAAACACCTAAAACTGAAGAAATATTGAAAAAGGTTTGCATTTGAAATTAATATTTTATATAAATTAAGTTGGTTAAGTACAATCAAATGGATTAAAGAGCTGATTTATCAAAGTGTTTATATATTTATTATATCTGGTTGCCCCAGTGAAGCCTCAGTATTGGAGCTTAGCAAGTTATTGTGGTGATACATTTTGACCTAGACAGATGACCTGTGGTATTCCACAACTGTGTGTAAGACTTAGAAAAATAGGCAAAAGATTAACAAGAAAATCTCTCACAGTTAAAATACAGATGTATGCAGATATAAATGTGTGTGCTCACGTGTCACTATTTGAAAGCACTCCTGTAGTGTATTACTAATGTGTTGGGATGGGTAAGAAAGTAATGCTTCCTAATTTTATCTTCCTAGTCAGTTGCCAGCAGACTAGAGGACAATATTTCTGTGAAGCACTTGCATCACCTGCCCCTAACATGAAGTTACATTGCCAGCCAACAGATGGAAGCACCCCAGAGGGCTGCAGATGGTTGATGATATGTCTTACATAGAAAGCAGACAGTGGTGCCCTATCCAGAAGGTTGGCTTCTTCCTTCTCAGCACCCTTAGCAATCCCGTAGTGCCTTGCACAGTTAACTTCAGGGTTAGGTACTGGACTCCTTCTAAGGAGAGTTAAACGGGAGTCAGCCTTCGGCCTTGTACGGCAGGGGCTCCACACTGTCCTCTGGGTGCTCGCTCGTTCGGCACTGTCTGCCATTCATGTCTGTGCTGTGTGCTCAGGGAGATTGTACGGTTAGACAGATTTCAGAAGCAGAATGGCCCCATGGAAAGTTATTGCAGTTGCTGGTAGCTTTCTAGAAAATAAAAATTAGGAAGCTGCATTTTCTGAATAATCTTCAGAAAGGATGTGCTTTCTTATTTGAATATAAAGGCCAAAGGCCTTTGTTTAATGATATAGGTAAAATCTGCTTTCTTTCCTTAAGAACAAAGAGGGATCAGAGATGCATAATGTAATATTACAATAAACATTGTATTGTCAACTTTAAAGAAAACTAAGATTTTGAGATTATCTTAAAATAGTTGTGTATCAGTCTAATGCCCTCAAAAAGATTCATTTACTCTTTCCTGTAAAAAAGGCATGAAAGGTTTGTTTTGGTTTTGGTTTTGGTTCTGGTTCTGGTTCTGGAAAGCCAGTGCCTCAACAATGCTGATAAGCTTGCACTGTAACACTGTACAAATGAGCTGCAGCCTTACTCTGAAATCAGTTCTTTGGGGAGGATTTATATGTGTGTATTTAATTTTGACTTCCATGATAGAAGCAATAATATAACTTGGGTTCTTACATATTAAAATTGAGAAGTAGGCTCTGGATCATGATTTAATACGTGACTTTATATGTGGCAAATTTTACACTTTTTTCTGTTAGTGCCTATCAGAATAATGACATCACCGAATTTGAAAAGATTCTGAAAACAAATCACAGCAACATCATGGATGATCCATTCATACGAGAACACATTGAAGGTATGCTCTGTCAGCTGAATTCTGGTACTTCCTTTGATACTGTCAAATACATATTTCTTAATGGAATTTCACAGAATTAAATTATTAATGACAAAGGACAGAAATGTTTCTAAATGCTATAATGATAAAGGAAATGATTTTAAGAAATTAAGCAGATTTCATTTGTGTGAAATGCCCACAGAGGCCAAAAGAGTGTCTTAAGATCCCCTGGAACTGGAGTTATAGACAGTTGTTAACCTCCATGTGGATACTGGGAGCTGAACCTGGGTCCTCTGCAAGAGCAACCAGTGCTTTTAATCAGTTGAGCCATCTCTCCAGCCCCTAATGATAAAATTTTTGAAAAAAACAGTTGTGTATGAAGGATTGTATAAAATATGATGCTCTGGATTTTGAGAGAGTTCTAAAGCAAGTAAATTAGGCTATAAAAGTCAGCTTCTTAAAAGATACTAAATGTTACGGAATTGATGCATAGTGGGGTACCTAGAAGGCAGGAGAGCATTCTCATAGAGTAGCAACAAGCATAACCAGGGCGAGCCAGCTTCTGTCATGCTATGCTAGAGTTGTGCCTGAATGTTTTAAATCCAGACACCTAATGTTTTTATAAAGCTAAATAGTTTGAGGAAAGTAAATTGTGGTAGTTAATAAATGTGGCTTATAAGTACACAACTCATAAAAATATACAAACTATTAATTACAGTTTTTTTTGTTTTTCAGAGCTTTTACGGAACATCAGAACACAAGTGCTTATAAAGTTAATTAAGCCTTACACAAGAATACATATTCCTTTTATCTCTAAGGTATTTGTGAATTTTAGTGATGCTTATAAAAACCTACAAATGCATTAGACCTGTCTTTTTAAAAAGTAACTAACTTTGAGGCATTGCATTTTTTTTATTTTTTAAATATGTTATCTATTAACTTTAGTTTAGTTTACATGTATGAGTACATTGTCTGCATGTATGAAAGTGTATCACATGTGTACAATGCCCACAGAGGCCAGAAGGAGGTGTTGAATTCCCTAGGACAGAAGTTATGCATGGTTGTTAGCCACCATGTGGGTGCTAGGAATCAAACCTGGGTCCTTTGCAAGAGCAGCCAGTGTTCTTAACCACTGAGCCATCTCTCCAGCCCCGCTTTTGCACTTTTAAATTATAAAGTAACTTAGGGCTTCACTTTGGTTTTTTTTTTTTTTTTTTGACATGTGGTCTCATGTGGCTAAGGCTAGCTTCAAACCCCTCACATAACTGAGGATGACCTTGATCTCCTAATCCTGTTGACTCTACCTCCCAGGTACTGGGTTACAGGCATGAGCCACCATGTCTAGTCAAGGGCTTTACATTTATTCTAAATTTGGGGGTTTTATTTTTGGTTTTTGATACAAATTGCTTTTAACAGAAAAGAGCTTTAACTTTGTAGGAAAGAAATTGTGACTCACTAAATTTCTAAAGATTTCCTTCCGCCTCGGGCAGAAGAGAGCGGATGCTAAAAGACATAATAAAGGTCTAATCTCAACCACTGAAAAAATGCAGTAGGAATATACTTCAGAAGTTGGACAGTGAAGGCTGTGGCTGGAGCTCAGCAGAGCACTTTTCCTACCATGGCAAATTCATAGTAGTTCAGTCTCTAGCACCAAAGGGATGAAAGTTGCAAAATGAAATCTTTATCAGACCTGTGCTCTACCAGATTTGATGTAATAATGAATTTGTTTAAGATCTCAAGCCAAGCCTAGTAGCACAGGCCTAATCCTATCTGTTTGGGAGGGTAAGGTAAGGGGATTGTAAATTCAAGGCCCACCTAGGCTACAGAGTAAATTCAAATCCAGCGTGGGCTACTTACTGAGACCCTGTCTTAAAAGTAAAAAGAAGGTTGGGCACATAGCTCAGGGATAGGATACATGCACAAGATCCTAGGTTCAATTTGCAGTACCCACCCCCAAAAATTCTCAGCTGAGTTTGTAATTCAGAAAGAGAGCACTTACCTAGCTCTGGGTTAAATCACCAACATAATAAAGAAGGCAAAATTTTAAGACAAATGAAAAAGCCCTTTACTAATTTTTCCTTTCAGTGGTGTAAATTAATTTTAAAAGCCCAGATGCCTATAGGAAATCATAAATAATATTATGAATTTCTTTTGTCTTAGGAGTTAAACATAGACGTAGCTGATGTGGAAAGCTTGCTGGTACAGTGCATATTGGATAAGTAAGTATTTGCAAATTTTTAACATCATAAGATGTTTGGAAACGTAAATTTTGGGTAGCCATGGCAAAGATAGCAATTGAGTGATTTATCATAAAAGAACCCTGTGGCCATGATTTTTCTAAGAGACTATACATATGTTTTATATATTACTGAACACACATAATCTCTGAACTCATTTTTCAGACAGAAATTATTTACTGGGCCAGTGAGATGGCTCAGTGGGTAAAAGCACTGACAGCTTAAGATTGGTCTCTGGTACCCACAGTGGAAGAAGATAATCTAGCTCCCAAAACTTGTACCCTGACCACATGTGTTCTCTGGCATGCACAGTGTACTCACGTACATGTACACACACACGCTAATAATTTTTTAATTTTTAATTTAAAAACAAATTTTTACTGAATAGTATTTCTTAAATATGTACGCCCTGTATATGGCACATGTTACAAAACAACTTTGCCGGTACATCTTTCTTAGAAGCAGTGTGTTTTAAAAGCTTGATAGGTGGCATTTACCTTTCAGTAAGTCAGCTGCCTGCTGATTCTTCAGTGAAACTGAAGAAATATGGTTGCTGAAATCTGGTGTCTTTGTCTTTCAAGAGTTTGAATAGGCAGTAGACATTGCAACTCACACTAAATTCACTCATTAATGTAGGTAACGGCAAGCTTTTGATGGGTTTTGTTTGTTTAGTTTGGTTATTGGTTGATGTGGCTGATTTAGTTTCAGGAGCTATTCGTAGTGAAAATAATTTGCAAACCTTCTTTTCTTATTTATTTCCAGCACTATTCATGGCCGGATTGATCAAGTCAACCAGCTCCTTGAACTGGATCATCAGAAGAGGGGTGGTGCACGGTATACTGCACTAGATAAATGGACCAACCAACTAAATTCTCTGAACCAGGCTGTGGTCAGTAAGCTGGCTTAGCAGACAAGCTCTTACAGACACGCCTAAGGCAGCAGTGCAGAGATGTAGTCCTTAAAAGAACTGGGAATGGCAAAACTACTGTCGGTTGATATGTCCTGAAAATGATTGGAGTTGTGGCAGAAGTGCTTTTTTGATCAACTGGTTTGTGTTTTGCTGCTGCATTTATCCCAAGAAAAACAGCTTTAATCTCCAGAAGAAAACCAAAATACCATGGGATTTATGCTGTATTGACATCTTGCCCTAAACATACAACATCATAGTAATTTGTCACGGGCAACATAACCAGAGAGAAGATTTTTGTCATGATTTTAAATACACTGACATGCTACTGTTGGTTAAATTTAAACATGTTTTACCTGCAGAAATTCTCTCACAAATAACCTGCAATAACTTGAAATTCATACCCTTTTGAACACTTCTTTTTCTCATGTATAAATGAAAATGTTTGCTGCATTTTGCAAAATGTCAATTCTCCAAAAATGTGTCCGTATATTTCTGTACCTGCAGCGTAGTGAAGGTTTAGATGAAACCCCATAATTACAGTGGCATACTGTCACTTAGGTTTCAAGCAGCAAAATAAACAGTGCAGCTCAGAAATTGTAGTGTGGTTCTCGATGTGTTTTTATTACACTTGGGGTTGCTCTTTTGTTTTTTAGAACTTTAGAGATTTCAGATTACTTTATCTTCAGTTAAGATTTAAAAGCCTGAGGGCAAATAAGCCAATTATCTGCTTTCAAGTTTTTAAAATTAGTCTTTATTGATAAAGTGAGGAGAACTACTTTCTAACAAAACACTTGCATAGTACTTATTTTGACAGTAATACTTTAGAGGAATATGATTCTTTTTTTTAAAGAATGATATTCCCTTTAAAAAGAGTGCATGTTAACTCTCAGAATGTCGCTTTAAACAAACATGCCGGAACATAGACAGCGAAGTGAATGTTGCCTGCAGAGTGGACATGCTGACGCATAGACAGTGAGGTGACTGACTGCTACCCTGCAGAGTGATCACGCCAGAAGGTTATTTCCTAATGCCAGCAACCAACCATTGCCCAAAGCCTCTTGGGCTTGCTCTTTGAGAATTGCAGTCAAAGTTAGTGTAAGTCATATGCTATTAACTTTGTTTGTACATTGTTTTTTAAAAGAATATTAATAAGCTTGTTTTTATTTACCCTTATTTGGCACCAAATGACAGTTTCCAAAACTTGAATCTTAATTCTAGATAATGCAGAAAGTTTGCAACTGACTTTGGAAACAATCTCAAAAGAGTTGTGAAGGTATTTTGTGCAGGGGCAGTGTAGTTAAGAATGAACTGTGGCCTTCTAAGGAGATGGAACTCAGCTCATTTGAATGTATGGAGTTTGGGATGTATTTGTTTTATTTTTTTTTTAAGTTCTCTTATAGTGTCAAAAGAAGAGCTAAGGTTACACAGCTTCCTTGGTTTCTCTATTGCTTGTTGTTATGTAACCAGTGGGTGGTAGTTCAGAAGGAAGACTGTTGTGACTGGACAACAAAGAATCAGACTTTATAAAAGTGGGAGCGTGGGCTGAGAACAAGGCCTGCTTATTTGGTTTTGTCAAAATTTTACAAAATATGTGATATATATTTATACTAAACTATATAATCCTTAGATATAGGAAAGCAGCCAGTTCATGTCTCTTACCAGACTAAAGCAGTATTAAATACAGATATAAGTTGGAAATTGTAGAAAACTGAAAGAAGACAAAAGACAAAATGTCAACAGTAGGGAATAAAAAGTTTAAGATATAAATTATGTGTATTTTCTTCTCTTTTACATAAATCATTTGTGAAAGTGTGCTAAGTTTTTTTTTTACAGGAGTGATATTAATTAGGATTTATTTTTCCAGTATAATTTGGAGACCCTTTGTTACCCAAATAAAAATGACAAGTTTCTGTGCCTGTATTCAAATATGTATTCATGTGATAACCAGAATTGAAAAGATTTCAGGATGGGGTTTCATTCTTACCCTGCAGCTCCTAAAACATCCAGCTCTGCTGTGATTCTCTGCTGCTTGTAGTGGTGCATCTTGTAGTTTTAGAAAGCGGTATATATATATATACTTGTTCTGTGCAAAGCTGGACCAACTGTAAGAATACCTGCGTTATCTCACCCTTCGACCTACTGTAGCCCTTCTTCATGGCGGAGGCTTTGTCCTATGTTGGTGCCCAGACACAGGCTTGTTCTCTTGTTATTCATTGGCCACTTGTAGGATGTTTTTTAAAGATCTAGTCTAACTCAAAATCAAGATTTTTTTTTTAAGATTTATCCATTTATAGAGTTGAAATCTTACTGTTCTGTGTTCATTTCGTTTTTCTTTTTTCCCTAAACTTGGTTAAACCTGTACAGCAGTTTCTGGCTGCTTCAGGTCGACGCTATCTACTATAAGAGCTGATTTCTGTTACTCTTTGCTCTTGAATTATCTTCAAATTTTTATTAAAAATTCTTTGTTACATTTTACTGTAACAACTTCTTGTTTAGAGATTGGTATAGATGTACAAACACTACACGAATCCTTTCTCACTGAAGGCTGACAGCAGACAGCCTGATTCCACAGTGGAAGAATGACTGCCTATACTGGGCGTGGAATGCTACTGCTGGTTACTTTATCAGACATGTTTGTCCCCGACTATAAAACACCTGTTCTTGCTATTTAAAGGGTCCCCAGTGGTAGAAATGTTCATTTTTAATCAAAAGACTTTATGGTTCTTCATTAAATACTGGTGAGCACTCCTCTCTTGTGATGGGGGCCATACTGACAACAGGTTAGTCTGTAAGACAGGAGACTAGTCTTTAAGCCTACTGGGTTCTTCTGATACTTGTAAGGACCTTAGATGTACTCTAAGCATTTCTTTACCAAGGCTTCTTAAAAAAAACCTGTCACTTTTTAAATTAAATTTGAAAGGGTTCCATTGACTTGGTATTTAAAGTGAGATGACAGTATAAAATAAATTTTTGAATTTCATTCTTCATACGAGATTTTAGCTATAAAATATCTAGGAGTTTTGTCTTTTTTCTTCAGCTAAGATCTTACTATTAGCTCAGGCCATTGGAACTCAAGACCCCTTCCCTTCCCTTTGCAAAAGCTTAGATTCTAGGCCTGCATTGCCAGACCTAGTTCTCTAGCATCTTGACCAAAATAAACATTCTGAACTGAGGTGCATAACAAAGACAAGAAAGAATTGCTGTTAACTACTAGTGTTGAATGATATCCAGCTACTTAGAACAGGACACGGGCGTCAGGTCTCAGAACTTGAAGTACAAGGTATGTAGTCCTCATTTGTGTAACCAAAGTAGAAAATTTTCATTTTCTTCTGTGGTCTTTTTGTTGTCTAAGATTTGAGAGGTTTATTTTTGAAATTATAGAGAAAATACTAGAGTTTTAATGCCATTTGAAGGTTTTATGATAGTAAGTACCATAGCTTATAACTTGACTCAAGTGTCTATCTGTGATGCTAAATATTTCTCAAAAAGCTAAAATCTGGTATCACTTGCTTTCACATCTTAAAATTTCTTTTAACTTCGGTAATGTCTTGGAAGATATTAATAATGTGAAATTTTTGCATTTTTAGTATTGCTTAAAAACCTAGAATAAGTAAATCTTTAAAAAATAGTTGTCAACTCTAGCTCTGTGATAGGCATGAAACTTAGTTCTTAAATAGTAATTTAATTTCTTAAATCTTAATTTGGGACCAAGTTTGTTTTGTTGGCAAAATTATAAACCTTTGATCTTCAGAACTAGCACGTTGTCTGGGGATGAATCTTAGTATGACAAGTATTTAGGATTCCAGAGGCCATGGGTTTGATTTCCACTGCATACTCACAGAATCCATGTGGTTAGCTGACCTATACTATAGCTTTATGTGGTGTATGTTGTAGTGAACAGATTTATAGAAATACAAAATTCATTTCCCAGTTCATCATAGTATTTTTGTTCAGTTTTGTTATTCAGTACCACTGGCTTTTGGAATCTGTGGTATATGCCATGAAAGTAAATGGTGGTGTAGTAGAAAGGAGCTTATATATTTGCCTGTTTCATAAGGAAAACTGTCCCAGTTTACACAATGATCACAAGGATTCGTTTTATTGAGAATCAATTTGTGAAAGACTTTAATGAATAGTCAGCTTAAGTGAGTTTAGAGATTTTTGTGGGCTTTCTTTTTTTCTCTCATTTATGATCTGACACTCACTGTGTAGCATAGACTGACCTTAAATTCACAGCAGTTCCCTTGTCTTGAGATTAATGGGCATATACCACCATTCCCAGCCTGGAGATTTGGTATTGTTGAGACAAGAGAATCTTGCTCTATGGCCCTGGCTGACTCAAAATGTGGACTTAGAGATTTTTTTTTTTTTTTTTTTGAGCTACTCATTTTATTCAGCTCCCGAGTGTCAAGATTTCTAGCATGCTTAATTATTAACAGCACATTAATGTTAAATGGTATTTTATTTTTGTTAAAATGTTTGCTTGGGGGCTGGAGAGATGGCTCAGCAGTTAAGAGCACTGACTGCTCTTGCAGAGAACCCGGGTTCGATTCCCAGCACACACATGGCGGCTACAAACCATCCTTAACTCCAGTTCCAAGGGAATCCGAAGTGCTCTTCTGACCTCCGTGGCATTGCACGACACGGGTGCACTCACGTACATGCAGGCAGTATACTCATACACATAAAAATAATATTTTTTAATGTTTGCTTGTCCCTTATTAAAATGGTAAATATTTATGCATCTATTTGAAGTAACACTTTGAAAATAATTTCTTGGGGCTGGAGAGATGGCTCAGTGGTTAAGAACACTGACTTGCAGAAGACCCCAGTTTGAATCCCAGCACCGACATGGCAGCTAACAACTGTAACTCCAGTTCCAGGGGATCTGACAGCCTCTTCTGTCCTCCGCGGATATTGCACAACACAGGTGCACTTACCTACATGCAGGCATAACACTCACACAAAAAAATAATAAAGCATTTTAAAAAATATAATTTCTCAAACTTCAAGAAACAGCAATGAATTTTACATTTTCTATCATTGAAGGTGTTAGAGAGGTATTCTCAGTGTTGCTTACACTGCCTTTCCAGTGTACATGAAGTCCTCCAGCTCACACTGACTAGGTGGTCCAAGTGGGGACTAGGAACACAGCAGAGGGTGTGTACCTGAACTTGGAAGATCCACAAGCCAACACTCGTAAAGCACTCCTCATGTGCAGGATGAATGAAGATGGACCTTATGCTTAGGTGTTCAAAGGTTTTTAGCTCAAATGAAAGTGCATTGTTTATTGGTAATTAAAATCCACTTATGAAATATATATGCTGATACTATACTTGCTTCACCAAAAATTTCAGTATGAACTGTAAAATAACTTGAATGTTTTAAGAATGTTTCTCAGAAAATAGTACTAAAAATTTTAGCCGCTAGGTTTGAAGATCAGAATTGTAGTATTCTTTTAAGATTACATTTTTACTCTGAAGCACTGATGGAGAAGTTGGCCTGAACTAAACTTTTATCTATCCTCACTCAGTTCATGTTGCAGATAAATGTCTCTTAGGAATTGTTCCTTCACCTCAAGATTAAATATTGCAAGCAGGAGATTAACTGGAAGAAAGAAGTAGAGGGGACAGTGACTCCCAAGTCCCTAGTATGGTTGATTTAAGAGCTGTGGTGTTGGGGCTGCAGAGATGGCTTAGCAGTTAAGAACACTGGCTGTTCTTGCAGAAGACCCGGGTTTGAATCCCAGCACCCACATGGCAGCTAACTGTAACTCCAGTTCCAGGGGATCCGATGGCCTCTTCTCCATGGGCATTGCATGACACAGGTGCACTTACATACGTGCAGGCAATATACTCATACACATAAAAAATAATTTAAAATAAAAGCTGTGGTGTCAGAAAAACCTCTTGTGAATTTATTGTATATCCTAAAATAATTTCTCAGGTGCAACCTTAATTTCCATAATTTCAAAGTAACAATGATAATGCAGTCTACCAACTTTTGAAAGTCAAAAGCACTTTCAGACTATTGGAGGTATGGGGCCAAAATTCCATAGTGAATATCTAAAATCAGTGTCATTTTGTACTTTGCAAAACTTAAAACTTCCAAGATGTAGAAGCTTCAGGTTAGCAATTTCTTATTCCAACTGCATTTCAAACAGCTGTGGTTGGTAGTATGTTGATACCACTAGCCTAGCCAGGATGTGTATATGCTATATGTAAGTCTGATGAGTTGTGTTTCTGTGTTCCTGTTCTATTAAGTTGTACTGTACTGTAAATTGAAGACAATTTACCCATCTTTCAGACTTGTTAAACGAAGGTTTTTTTGTGAACAGATGTAGATCAACTAATGTGCTTTATTGGCTGCGGTACAGTTGATGCTAAAATTTCCTTCCTTTCTGACCATGACTGTCTTCATTGCTACAGTTGCCAGAACACAGACCAGAACATGCTTTCTCTGTGCCAGTCAGCCTCAACATCTTAGGTGTTCCCCCAGTGCCTGCCACATTCTAAGGCTCAAGAATCCCAATTGAACAAATCATCCTTGTCCTCAAAGAGCTTAGTTCTCTGGGGAGAGGCAAATACGTTAACTTCATATAGAGAAAAAAAAAAATTGACCAAACAAATGAAAGCTGACTTCATATTTGACTGACTGCATATCCAATGCAGGTGTAGGGGAGGGCGGTTCAGCCAGAAGTGAGTGCCTCTGTGTTGGTGGGACAAGTATATTACATGTGAGTAGAGTACAGTTATGTGATA